GGGTCCTCTTTTTTTATTTAATAGATATGGTAACCCTAAGCAGCAACTAAGAAGATTTTGGAACTGAAAGCTCAGGGTCAAAGTCTGTGCTGATCATATAAAAGTGGTGCTTAGGGCAGTGCAAAGTGAGGTTACAGAGAACACAAGGTGACACAAACCTACTTAGTGACTCTGCAAATCGGATGTGGTCTGAGAAATAGCAGCTTACACTAGTTCTGTGCTTCCCCAAATGCAAACTCCACACAGTCACACATCCTGCTTAGGGGTAGCCTTCTTCATCAGACTCACTGTCACAATACTGTTGCATGAAGTGCACTAGCAGGATAACTGGGCTGGGTAAACGTGCAGATATATTTGGTTAACATGTCCAGGAGAACACATGAAACTGGCACACTGACAGCAGTACAGCTGTGCCTCCACATGTTTAGTGTAAATAGAAGAAGGCTGCAACAAGGGGCTGATAACAACTGACCTGTTATCTGTAGTGAGCTGACAATGCTCAGTACTAGTGCCTGAGGCCTATATAGCAGATGAGTGGGTGGTCACTCTGAGGATTGGATCACCCTAACATTATTATTCTTTGGTTCATAAAATGGATTTCACATTACAATAAGAGGCTGCAGAAAGGCCATATATCACTGCTGAGCAAAGAGTAGGGCTGACAAAAACAGGTTTATTATAAACATGAATGTGATAAGCGTGATAATGTGACATCAATAGTCATATGTATGTTGGTCAGATCTCCATTTTGACAACAGCAGCTAACCCATTAGACATTATTAACATGGTAAAGAGAAGTATTTTGTGGTAGAATGAATAGAGTGATATTCCTCCACGTAACAGCAGGAGCCTATAGCCAGCAACTGTCACGAGTACATAACCCTTTCCATAATTTATGGTGCCAATCATGAACAAATATATAGGAAAAAGAAAATGGTAGCTAAGACCCCATTTGCATGATGGAGGAGGAAATTGCCACTTATATGTGTAATTTAAGCATGGCAGTGAAGAAAAATATGAACTAGAATAAGGAATTCATATTGTCTCATGGTTCTTTCTGTAAATAACCTCTTTTTGTGTAGCTGTTTGTGATAAACACATTAATAAAACCATGACCTCATAGCAGTGGGGACTACTGAAGACTGAAAAACAATAGACAATAGTACCACAGGGTTACTTCAAAAGAACAAAGTTTGATTCAGAGAAAAAGCTGGATGAAAGGTTACAAGGTTAATTAACCTAGCACTTTTCTGTGAAAGAACTGAACACGTCAGATGGCTAGATAATGACCTTTCCATAATGTTCAGTTATGGCAATTGCTCCTCTGCACTGGGTGTGGTATGTTTGCTTTATAATTTTCAGAAGTATTTTATAGTTGTTCAGTGGTCAGATTTTATACAAGTGGATATGGATAAACAAGAAGAGTCTATTATGCCGTAGGAAATGGGAAACATGGCCAATAAGGAGCCTTTATAAATCCATTTTAAGTGAACAGACCTGGTAGTGACTTGAAGCCAAGTCTACACAAGAACAAGCCCAATAAGAGAGCCAAGATATTATCCTGGTAGTAAATAACTATGAACTGCAGGATTAGGCATCATAATGAGCATGGAAACTATTCTTTGGGTTGTTATACAGATATAATTACTCTATTATAAAATACAAAAACATTCTTTTTATATGTGCCCTGTTTCTGAAGAAATTTAGAAACAAAATATACACTGGGAGTCCTTATATGTGCCACTTACTGCTTTTCCTGCTATTTATGATTTTTCCCTATAAATAGGATGGGGAATTTTCAAAAGTAGCACTTAAGATGTTATTTTAAAACGTTAGTTTTTAAAGGCTGTGAATTGTATTGGAAAATTCTTGATCATAACTTTTTTGTGTTGATCAAGTAAAGCGTTCAGTAACAAGTATGGTTTCCATTGAACGTTTTCATGCATGTAGATCTTGGTATGCCTTCTGTTAGTAGCACACTTTGCACTCTCTAGCCCTCCTAGTCATCATTATGACCAGTAAAGAATGGCACCATTGGCTTGGTATGTACACTGTGCTCTGCACACTGCTTAAACTTGCTGTCAAATGACTCCTTAAATGAAAATTGGGATGCTGAAAATTATAGTAGTGGTGACACTATACTTCCAGTTCCACTGCATGCAGGTGCAGATCACTGGGAACCGGGTCTCACGTAGAACAAAGAACTTGTAGGCCAGGCCATGTCATCCTCTTCCTTCCTCCTGCCTCAAGTACAACATGTTTTTTCATGACACTGATTTCCTGCGGTCTCATCTTCTCATTTTCCTGTTTTCCCTCCAGGCTGGATACTGCTGACAATGTTTGCTCCTGCCCCAGGCCAGAGGCAACCAACCAAGGCACCCTTTCTTAGACTACCAGGCAGGTCAAATTACCCAATTATCCTTGCGGTATTTCAGTTCAATATCAGCCAGTCTGTAGCTAGTACACATAATTGCTTTAGATCTTGTTTTGACAAACAGCGTGTTTAAACACAGGTTATGCTGTCATTTTCTGTAGCCATTTTAAAAAAAATATCAGCAGTTAATGAAACAAGCTGTCATCAGGCAGCCATACTACCAAAGTGACATGAAAACTGAATGCATGCACTGTTTGTTTGTAGACTTTCACATACGTTTGGACCTAGTGATAATTTGTTTTTCTTTCTGCAGTTTAATATTGTTTGGTCTAGCTTGAAATGTGGCAGTCATGACATCAACATTTACAAAAAGCTATACTTTATAGCAAGCTTTAATAGACATCATTCAAGGTTTGGACAAGATTTCTTATAAGGCAATCTGCTCCAAATCCATCCCACATCCTCCAATGCCCATTTTGGGTGAGCTATTTCCATCTTCTATAACTATACAGATGTGTTCCATGTGTAGCCAAATGAAATCATTGAGATGAAGTCTGACATGAAATGCTTGAAAGTTGTTACAAATGTCTGTTAAAAGATTGTGTGCTGTTAATGTGGATTTTGAGATATTAAAGGATCAACTCAGAGAAATGTATACAGTATAGCTTGAGTTCACAAGACATGAGAAAGTGCAGAATCAAATCTGTTTTCAAGCTTCATGGGGATAATTTTACATAGACATGCTGTGGACCAGGTGGCGTGTTCCTCTGCTATATGGTGTGGATGAGAGAAGAGAAGGGGAAAAGGAGAAGGAAAGACTTCTAAGCTAGTAGAAACGGGAAATAGTGAACCTGCATCATTCTTTCTCCCCTTTCCTGCTTTGCATTCAGAATCCCCTCTGAATGGCTGGAATCCACTGGTTTGGTGGGAGGGTGTTTTGGGCCTGGAAGAGGAATAGCTGCTCTGTGTAGCATGCTGCCCTCCAAAGTTGGTAGATTTCCAGATTTCTTGCTCCAACCAGCACTAACTTGTACTAAGTTTTTTCCCCTTGGAGGTGGAAAGACTGTGGCCCAGCTGCAATAAGGGGAGTGAACAGCTGCAAGGGTCCAGGAGGAATTTCATTGCCTCTTTCCGGTGGGGAAAGACTTAATTTTAAGATAGCTGATTCTTCTCTATTTTTCTAATTTTAATTGGATTTATTGCCCGTGTTGTACTGTTCTTGACTAATGGCAATCCAAACTTCCTCACATTGTCCTGCCAATGTGCCAGAACCTTGTTTCACAGTTTCAGGGTAACTGCACCTAGATCTCCTCTCTGCGGTCCATTCCAGGAATATCCAGTCAGATTTCAGGCCTCCAGCTTTCACCTGTCTCTGGGCAGGGGTGTGCGCTCCACTCAGTGGTGCTGGAACAATTTGTGTAGTGGGGGTGCTGAGAGCCATTGAACCAAACTGTAAACCCTGTACATAATGGAAACCACTTCAAGCCAGGGCTGTGGCACCACCCCCAGAACCCCTAGTTCCAGCACCTATGGCCCCACTTCCTTCTGACGGGGTTTTAAGGCTGCACATCCCCCTGTGATACCCTTAGCAAGCCAGTCCGCCTAAAGGCCAGCACTTGCACTGTGCTTTCTCTCCAAGGGCTGTGACCAGTGTATGCCAGCAGTTACAAGTTACTGGTTTTCTCAGCAGAGTACATTTATTCATAGAGCAAACAAGAGAAAACAATAAAAGTTCCTACACACTTACTAAACATACCAGGAATCACCCATCAGTCTTACGGGGCCCTAGTAGGTCAAAGCCTTCCCAACCCTTCAGCAAGGGTTGGGGACCCCCCATCCCCGCACAGGAACAAAAGTCCTGTTCATTTGCTGAATCAAAATGAAGGCTACAAGTCAGTTCAAGCTCATCCTTTTATACCACATGCACTTCCTTTGTTTCTTTCCCTCTGGAACACCCAGCCTCAACCAGTATATGCAAATACCATAGGGAGTGGGGCTTCTCTGAAGCTGTTGACAATTCCAGGGGTAATTATTCTCTCCCCCCTCCCCAGCACTGTTTTTAGTTTCTGGAGGAGCTGTGGTAATCATCTCCCCTGGAGTAGAACACAATCATACATCAACTGTTCATAAATGTAATACAATGGTCCCCAAAGATACTGCATGAGGCTATAATATCTGTCACACTTTGCTCTGGAGAAACCATGAGTAATGGGGAGAAGTCAGACTCTATGCCCATTAATTCTTTTCCCCCCTTCTTTTTCAACATGGGTACCAAATAGTACTGTTTGAGAAATGCTCTTGAATACTATTTGTGTTGTAAACTATCCAGTCCATTTCTTTCTTTCTTAGAAAGCAGTCCTCTTCAGATCTGGAAAAAGCATGGTATTTCCAATTTCATCCTTCCCATCAGGCATCTTTCCAGTCAACTACTGGCATTTTGAATGCAAATATGATCTTTATGTGCATAGCCATCTAAAAGGAAATAAGCTCCCCTATAATTCTGTTCTCCATTTGGCCTTTAAATTGTGATCGGAATGTCTTTCTAATAGGTGTGGTTGTACTAGAGCAGAAGTTATTGGGATTGATAGTTATCTTAAGTAGTAGGGAAGAATAATTTCTTTCACTGCACAAATTACTGGGTGAAATTCTGTGGCCTGTGTTATGCAGGAGGTCACAGAAGATAATCATGAAGTCCCCTCTGGCCTTAAAAACTGTGGGCCAGATTCTTAGTTGGTGTAAATCTGCATAGTTCCATTGAAGTTACTGCAACTTTATTTTATAGAGTTCGGTAACATACTCATGCCCCTCTAGATAGACTACTTGAACAGATGTGCTTTTAATTTTTTTCCAGAGAAAGCAGACAGGTTTAAAAAGGGATGGGAAAAATAATTTGGATAAAATAAAGAGCAACTACAACCTTTGCCTAAAATTAAGTAGTACCCATTTTTCTGAGGTATAAAAAGTTCATTTGAAACTGTTTACATGTCTCTGACCTTTCTTTGGGCAGGAGTCAGGAGTGGGCTGCTGAAATTCTGCTGCAGAGGACTGCCTTTCTTGTGGCTTTTCTGGTGTGGGTTACACTGAAGAACACTGGAAGTCTCATGAAAGAACCAAAAGTTACAAGATTTTGCAACCAAAAATGTTGTGCTCAGTATGCTTGGCCAAGCTCCTAGGGCCAAATCCATCCCTGCTGTAACTTGGATGAAATCAGTGGAGTAACACCAGGAATAAATTTGATACCCGCATTTTCAGATTCTTGTCTTTACTTAATTTCCAAACCCTTGGACATTCACACATTATGAAGTCACATGGTCAGCTTTGATATTCCCTTTCAGCAAGTCCTTAACAGTATTTTCTGCCAGAGAGAGTTCAGTGTGGATGAAGAAGGTGTCTATAGATACATCTACACTGGAGCTCGGAGCGTGCTTCCCAGCATGAGAAGACAGATGTGTGTTAGCTTTGCTCGAGCCAGTGCACTGAAAATAGCAGTGTAGCTGAAGATGCCATGGGTGGCAGCTTGGGCTAGTTGCCTGAGTACCTTATAAAGGAGTGTGGGTGGATCTGTATTCAAACAACTACCCTGAGTTGCTGCTACAGGGCTATTTTAATGAGCTAGCTTGAGCAGAGAAGCTCTGGGAAGCATGCTTCCAGCTGCAATGTAGCAGTACCCCGTGTAAAAGGTGTTGGTTGGGTCTGCTGCTAAACGTTTGAAGCATGTGATTTTAATATTTTCTCCCAACTTTATCTTCAGTGCTGTTAAGTGGGTGTTAGTTATTTCAGGTGTACTGAGATTTTTTAAATTTTGCACTCTTCTACATTTCTAGTTGTACAAAGATCTGTGAAACAAGGTGTGCTGCCCCCCAGTTAGTTTACAATTCTGAAATAGCATTTGACGTCTCGGTTGATAGTGCAGTCACAGACCTCGACCAGAAAATTGCACCCATCTTTTCCAAATTAAGCGAAAGACATGTGGTTTCCATCTTCTTATTATCTATGCATGACACATGGAGAACGGGGAATCACTATTCTCTGGGGTTACTGAAATGGAGACATAGAACTAAGTGTCAAGTGCCTTGGTGACATGATAGCCCATAGTACCTCAACCACTCCCATATTTTTAACACGAGGGATGAAAAGACTGAATTCTGTGGTACTCAGAGTTGGGCTCAGGGTTAGAGCTCTCAAGATGCGAGACCAGTTGTCAAACTCAGTCCTTTGGCTCGCTCCAATAGGAATAGGCAAAGCTACCTTAATGCACCTTCATCCACACTTGCCAGGTCCTGTAATCAAGTCAGCAGTGCTTTGTGATCAAAGGTACTGAAGGTTGCTGTTACACACAATACCTTCCTGAAGCTACTAGTAAACTTTTTGTATGCTGTTGACTGACTCTTGCTTTCAATGCATTGCTTGACATTAATGAGCCCTCTAATTACTGCCAGTCTTTAACCTTCCTTTTTAAGAAGGTGGTGACAGACAAATTCCAGCAACATCATATTCTCCAAATTTGTGTCCCAGATTGGCTGGTTTCAAACATGGATGTGGCAAAGTAACAATGGTATCAGTGGTCACCTAAGTGATCACCTCCTGGTTATAGTCAAAGGTCAAATGTTCATGTTCATGAAATTAATAATCCTTATTTGTTAAGGACTCAGACATTCTTCATTGGTTTTCTCCATTCATATGGGACCTGGGTCCATACTGCAGGTGGCCATGTTGAACATTTCCATGACATTCAGAACTGCGGATCTGAATTTCATCTAGTTTACAACTGGGGACAGTGTGTTCTAATCTGAAGTAGAATGCAAACTCCTTGTAGTGAGACATTCAGCTCTGTAACCTGACAGAGGCAGTCGGGTTAGTCAGCCTACGTGCCATTCAGGACAATGCTGCTGATCTCAACTTTGACAATGCTAAGGTGTAGGAATAGGAAAATCTCTTGGTCTCTTACACAGTCATGGCATAGGGTTCCCATGATTAGTTTTAGTCCATTGCTCAGGTCTCTGTTCCAAAGGCAGGACAGCTTTATTCCTCTAGTCATATCCAATCATATATTATCTATCTATTTCCATGGGCACATGATCACCTTACACCTTTTGCCTCCTTTTGTTGGGTTATGTCCATTTTGTATGTTTTGTATAATTTCAGGAACCCATATTGGTTCCCAAAATGGAGTTTGTGCCCATGTGACCCAGCTGATTACAATTTTTCCGCCTTTTATTTCTTCTCAGAAGTGGTAAACAACTTCTGGATGGAACTGTTTTTTACCGCCTTTTCCACGGGGTTTCCCAGAAGGGGTTTTCGGCTCCTTCTACCGGGTTTCCCGGGCCAGATTATATAAGTCTGCCCCGAGTACTGTTCAGGTGCTGTCCATCTGAGTGACAGTAAGGGACTGTCGCGGGTCATGGTAGCCATCTTGCATTAATGGGCATGAACTAAAGCTTCAGGTTATCATCTGCTGTTTCCCAAGCATTCCAGGATTGTTATGTTGCCCTTTCATGTGATTTAACTATGGAAGATTTTGACAATAACTTGCAGAATGATTGAAACAAAAAGAGAAGGAAGATTTTCTACTATATGGTAAAGTCAGCACTTAGATTGATAATGCTAACAATACCTGGGATTACTACAGTTCATACACTTTCTTTTTGGACTGTATTCTTTCCTTTACATTATGATGATGTTTTAAG